TAATAATAATAATAATAATAATAATAACAACAACAAGAAGAACAACAACAACAATATAACACAAAAATTGGCGATAACAAATAAACGGGAAAAAACAAAACAAAATTTTAAAAAGACAATAATTGCTGATGCCAATAAAAGGGTAATCAAAAAACCACCCCCTCCAAAAAAAAACAGACAAAAATTGCCTAAACCAAGTAAAGCATTTAAAAAAAACCAGACAAAATTTAAAGTAGTCGATACCAAAGATCAAAAAAAAAAAAAGAAAAAAAAAAAAAGAGACAAAAACATAATTTTTCAACATTCTCTGACCTTTCTGCGTGGACGTGATGGAATAAAAGACGGCACAGGAGATCTGCGTGGGGTCTTCCTTGTCCTCGTCAAGGAGCGAGGCGGAGAAGGAGGAGGAGGGAACCGACGCCCCCTGCATGGGCTCCTGGGGCTCTGGGTTGGTCGGGGTCAGGGGCAATCCCGGGGGCGACCGGGTCTCCACCGAGTAAAAATCTGGGTAGCCTTCTGTGTACAGCGATCGGTACCTTGGGCTTAAGATGATGGACTGGAAGAAGAAAAAAAAGAAGGAAAAAATTAATTTTTCTTATAATGTATTAATTATATCTCGGGATAAGAATGATGGACGCGAAGGAAAAAAAAAAGGAAGGAAAAAATAATCATTTTTCTTTCAATGTATTTATTATATCTCAGGCTCAGAATGATGGATGGGAAGAAGAAAAAAAAGAAAGAAGAATAAAATATCTTTTTTCCAATGTATCTATCTTTATTTTTATACACCAATTGACATAATTTAGATAATTTAAGAGGCAGGCTTCTGACCCATCCTGTGAGGGCTAACCCGGGCTGAAACAGATACAATAACACCCCAGCAGAAAGACTGAGGGGGCTCTTGTGGCCTAGAGGTTAAGGTGTTGGCTTCTCATTCAAAGGTCCCGGGTTCCAATCTGGGTAGCGACCGAAAAATTTTCTTCTCTAAAATTGTCTCCTTTCACCTCATTTCCTGCTCTCTAGCAATGTTCTGTTGTCTGCTTTCGTTTCCACTTTCTGCCCCCACCCCTCACCTCCTTTGCCCCCTCCTCTGGGCTCCTGACTCTTTCTGCAGCCTTTCTACTGCTACTCCTTGGCTCCTCCTTACTGCTGTCTTTTTTCCACACCCCTGATCTTCTGGTAGGAAAGATCTACACCTAGCCTTCTTGGACAAGGACGAAAAATTTCTGAGGGCCCGTGTGCAAGTTGCGCACGTTAAAGATCCCTTGGTGGTCTAAAATCGATAAGAATAGGCTTCTGCCGCCACCCGGGCAAAATTCAAAATTTCCTACCAACTGAAAATATTAGGTGTGTCCCACGCGCTCATATGACCTTATGCAGTTGCGAGCGCCGTAAAACACTTACAAAAAAACAAAAAAAAGAAAGACAGAGACACTCGAGAAAAAAGAATCCCCACTCAAGAATCGAACTCGGGTCTCCTGTAAGCAACAGCAAAGCGTCTAACCACTTTACCACAGACCCCCATCACTAGGTTAGTGCACAGGCACGAGATAATGAAAGAGTTTTAAAAAACCTGCTTCCTTTGAGAACTCCAGAGAAACAAAACAAAATAAAAAACAGAAAATAACAATGTACAGGCTTCTCTCTCCTATACAGGTACGGTTACACTATATTTTTAGTAATCTGTTTTCATGACATGAGGCAGCTCGTGGCTTTTATAGGCCACAACCTCTCTGTTTTAGATGGTGGCATCTTGATCTTTAACATAATAGATTATGATGACAGAGATTTATTTTTGTGTCGCGCAAATTCCTGCTCAACAGCAAGCTCTACATGCTTTACAATCTGTACTATTACTCTAACAGACTTGATAGCATTCTGAAGTAACTTAACTTCCTGGGAAGCATACAGTGCAAGCTGCCACCCATTTTACAGGGGCTGAAACAACTAACATCCAACTGGTCGCTTTAAAGGACAAGCAGGCTAACTCAGATTTCCGAGGTTCCAGAAATCTTGACCTACACCAAAAGTGGGCATTGCCCTACCTATAGGAGAAGTTTGGTTTCATGGGTGTGTATAATTGTTTGGTTATAGAGAAAACTCTCCTTGTCTTTTTAAGAAATTTAACAAGGATCCAAAAACTTTACCTAGGATTTTCTCAAAACAGCATTTTTCAGGATAGCCCCCTTGTGCATAAAACGACTAATTGGGTGTGAAGAAAGACTCACATGAATGCTGGCGGCAATCTCTGACATGAGGGCAGTGTGCAGGACGACCACGGGCTCGCGGGGCATGCTGTTGTGAGTGAAGATGTAGCAGCGTCGGTACGGACCCAGGCGTCGCTTGATGTCCTCCAACGTCCGGATTTTGTGCACGGCCTCGTAGTTGGAAACCTGGTACACGATCAGAATTGTAATAGGAGGAGGAGGAGGAGGAGGAGGGGGAGGA